TTTCTTTGTAAGGTTCTGCAGTTGGGCACACTGGTGGACAATTTATCTATTGATCCTTCCTCGGGTGACATCTGGGTTGGCTGTCACCCTAATGGCCAGAAGCTCTTCGTGTATGACCCGAACCATCCTCCATCATCAGAGGTTTTTATATTTTGAGTTTTTCAACCTTAATTATTCAAGTCCTCTGAACTAATAATGCAATAAACTGTCACCAGGATGATTTGTTAGTTCTTTTAAACTAATAACACAATAAACCTGGGAGGTAGTTTTGTAATTGCTTTAAGCCAATAATTGGCAGAATGTTACATTGTTCAAATGCTTTGAGAAAAGTAATCTCTTGATGGATTAAATTATGGTGGAAACTAGTCAAAAGTCATTTTCATAAAGACATGAGTCCTGTTGATGTGGTATAATGGCAGTTTAAAAATATCTGGATTATTGTCAACTCACAACACGACATGAGTTCTGTGGATGCTGAAGTAGTATCAAGGTGGGCACAGTGGTGGGAGCCTGTTTCTATGAATGCTGAATTGCTATAATCATGCAAAATCCTGTGTTGGCATGGCATGACTGGGTACTTTAAAAGTCCTTTCTTTGAAGACTGGAGAAAGTACATTAAATTAAGCATTAAGGAGATTGGTAACTGCTGTTTGCCACAGCATGCCTTCTTAATCATGTGTCTTTGGGGAAGACAAGGGATTATTGGTGCTTGAGTGGCATGGGTGTGTGGGATTCTCTATTAATACTTTGTATCTTCTGGGTAGGTTCTCCGGATCCAGAACATTCTATCCGAGAAGCCATCAGTAACTACAGTGTATATCAACAACGGGTCTGTCCTCCAGGGAAGTTCCGTGGCGACCATCTACGATAGGAAACTTCTTGTAGGCACTTTATACCAGAAAGCCTTGTACTGTGAACTCTAAGTTGTATTTTTGGCATGCAAGTACAATAAGTTGTAGCAAAACAATCTTTTGATGAATTGCTAATTCTGAGGGAATTTAACCGTCAGCACTGACCTAGGAATATACCACATACATAGCTAATTTTATTTCAAAGGAAAGGCCTACAATTCTGATGTACTTTCAGCATCAACAGAAAATTAACTTTATTATTGGTATTTTTTTAAAATGCCAATCAGGGAGAAATAAGAAAGCTGCTTTTTGATAAGGTGAATATGTTTTTGCACAGAGGGGTTTTAACTTTGTGCCTCACCATGTGGGAGGCCACTGAAACAGGGCGAGCCATCAAAGTGTCAGCGTCCGGGGTCCCCAAGCTGTGACCAGTGTGCCTGTTCAGGACTACTGATAGATAACATTTTGATGTTCTGTACTTACAGCTTTGTCTACTGTTTTACAAGTTAGAAGTGTATTAAAGACTAACCACAACCCAGGTTTTTGTTTGTGTTTAATTCCTGAAGCGGATTCTCAGGAGAATGGGAAAGAAGTGACTTTTAGGGGATTTGATTGGGCAAGAATGGTCATGCTGATCTCTCATGAAAGCTCAGTGTAAAGGGGCTCCTTATTGGGAAAAAAAAACTGAATACTGTAGCTCAAATTTTTATTTACTTACCTTTTCTTTGGAACACAATCTCATTACATAGCTCTGGCTGACCTGGAAATTGTTGTGTAGATCAAGGTGGCCTCATACTCACAGATACCCACCCACCTATGCCACAGGCAGCCTTCAAATGTTCAATTCTAAAGGCATCTCCTATAGGTTCTCTTCCTAAATAGAAGCCCACTTTAGATACAAAGAAGAGATAAAGGCTTGGGGTTGGCATCTTACCTACTCAGTAAACTGAACTGTGACCAGAAGCCAGGAGAGGTGTGGTCAGCTGTCCAAGTCTGCCTGGTTAGGTCAGAGTTAAGGGCGACAAAAATCACAAGGGGATCATTTTTTCCCCTCTAGCTCCAATAAGAGTCCTGAAGAGAGAATTTAATGTGTTTCTTTCTGTTGTCACTTACGTTTTTTTTTATTAAAATTTTATTATAAAGGACTTGCACATAAATCACCATTGTCACTTATCAAAGACTTTTGTTTCACTTTTCCATCTTCCTCATTATCATTAAGACACTTGTCAGTTAGTTATCGAATGCCCAACAATTGGGGAGTGCGCTCCCATTATTTCACTTAATCTTAATTGCAGCCTAGAGGGAAAAGATGTCGATATTGTATCGTCGTTAACATTTCACAGTCAGTCAAGGTCATGCACTTCCTAAGGGTGAATATCAATCTGTTTCTAATGCCAGACCCTGTGCCATTAGCAATTATATGAAGCTACTGCCATAGAACCCTATTGTATATCTTATGTTCTGTTGTGTGTTTTCTTCCAAGGTACCAATTTAAGTTCTGCATTTTGTCAAATGATTTAATGGCTTTAGAACTGAAATTGCAGAAGTATTCTTAAACTTGGGCTCTGGTTCACTTAGTCTGTTTTGTATTTATATTTCTCTGTTATTTATTATTTTCAATTTTTCAATTTATTCTGTTAATGAATCAGGGATATATTTCAGGCCAAGGAGATTAATGCTTCTTGCTGCTTTCATTATCTAAGGGGGAAATGTTCACAGGTGATTAAGGCAAGATTAAATATTGTTTTCCTAAGAACACAATCCAAGAAAGGAATGTTTTCGATTTTAGGAGATGTTAACAATGGCTATCTATCTAAAAAGACACATTCATAAGAAAATACCAGGGTATAATAGGTATCAAGTAAAGTTGCTTTCCATTTCACTTATTCAAAATTTCATTTGTGCAAAAGTGAGTATGTATTAATAAGCACATACATTGTTTATCCCAGGTATACAAGAAAGGTTTTAATAAATCCCAATGTGGGGTATCAATGGGTATGAGAAATTGTTTTATCAAACTATAAGTATAATGTATATTAATTTATGGTGACCTTTTATGATTATATACTGAGGGGATCATTTTAGTGATTAAGTCATCATTGTCCAAAACAACAGTTGTGATTTGGCACTCCTGGGGGATATATTAGGGACCCCCCCCCCGCCGTGTTTATACACATGTGCCTGCAGAGGCTAGAGGAAGATATTCAAATGTCTTCCTCTATTGTTCTCCATTCCATTGACTTCGGACAGGTGTCTTCATGACACTGAAGCTTTGTGTTCCAGCTAGCACCATATGCTCAGCTTTTATGTGGGTTAGGGGAATTCCAACTCAGAACCTCTTGCAAACACTCTGATCCACCCATCTCATCAGCCTTTACTTTTACTCTTCTTTCTTTTAAATGAAACCTTGGCTGTTTCATTTACTATGAGGAGCAAGGAAAATTAAATCAGCTGTATTATCTTCATTTTTTTTTTTTTTTGGCATGGGTTAATCATTCCTGAAGACGATCTTTTCACTAGGTTTTAGACATTCAAAGTCTTGAGAGGATGGAATGCAAGGGAAATGCTATCGCTCCTTTCAGCTTCTGTTAAAACAAAAACAAAACCCAGCTCTTACCAGATTATCTAGCCCCAGCCTGGCTTTGGACATCTGGTTTTCCTGCCCTAGCCTCCTGAGTGTTCAACTGATTTCTCCACGTAGATGCTATTCATTACTAATATTGAAAACCGTGCAACTGCATATTGGTCTCCTAGTAATATTGTTGTAGCGACACCTTTGATGAATGGGTAATAAAAATGGTTGTCTTAACTACTTTTCTGGGAGATGAACTCCAGGCCTTCAGAACTTTTGGCTTAGTGGGCCATACAGTCTACCCCCAGATCCGCTAAAGGCTGCATGCTCATGTGTTCCATGGAGGGTCATGAAGACAGATAACGTGTGCATTGACTCTCAATGCTCTTAATTCCAAGTAGATTTCACCTGCTTCTTTATACAGCAAATATCCCCATGTTCTATCCTCAGAGAACAGACCTCAAGACCTGGGACTGTCTGCTCTTTGTTTGGCTAGTTTGAGAACAAACTCTTGAAAGCCTTAAGGGATTGGCACACTGGGCAAAATGAACTTTGCCTGGTACCAAGATATCTTTTGAGAAAGAACTGATGTCATAACATTTTTCCCAAACCACATCTAATAAACCTCTTGTTAGTAAATAAAAATCGATGATGCTTGAAGGTGCAATGTTCCCTAAACTGCTGAAGTGTGTCCTGTCATCTTCAGACTCCCCAGTGGTATTGTTGATCTAAGAGGAATGTGTGGTCTTCACCAGAAAGACCTGCAGTCCACAGGAAAGAATAGCAAGAACCTCCCACGGAAGCTACGTCCTTTTTATTGTATTCGGCTCATCCTCCAGTCCCCAGACAGATGGACTTGGACTCTCACCATGTCCAGCACCGTGAAGGCACCACGAATATCTGGAGCCAAATTCCAGAGCGCTGACATCTGGAGAAGTCAAAGGACTTGGCTTTCAGGATTTTCTCCCCCTCTACAGGGTTTCAGGAGTGATTTCTGTGTTCCCATGTAGCTCTCCCCACCTTCGTTCCCTGGTGGAGCTGAAATTAATTATGTTCTGTAGCTTTAAGAAACAAACTGTCTTCACTCTACAAGGACTCCAACTGTGAGTTCAAACTGGAGCTACCTAGAGCTTGGCTGACCTTAGCCAGAGGTAACCGGCTCCGGCTCCCTGACTAGAGTCTTGGAGTTCCGAATCCCAGGCAGAAAACATTTTCCCCATTGTCCTTGGACTCTGAGCACCGATAGGTAGCCTTGGAATCTGCGCCTAAAGTAGCCTTGAACCGGCGCGCAAAGGTGCCTTTGAATCTCTCCCGGCATAGGTGGTCTTGAATCCCAAGAGCAAAAGTTTCCTTGAAACTCAAGCAGAGAAGTGGCTTTGAGCCTTGGAGCAGGAGAGAGCAAAGACTGCTGACTGCTGCCTGGGACAGGACCGATGCACCTGCCAGGAGGAGCAGGCGGGCGGGGCACAGGGGACTGATTAGTGGGCGGGGCCACCGCGTGTCCGCCCCCCACCTCCACCCTGTCCTCTGGGAGCAGTACTAGGCGGAGGCTCCTCGCCTCTAGGCACCCAGACATCATGGGGAAGCTAGTGGTGCTGACCGTGCTGGGGGCCAGCTTGGCCTTAATAGGGGAGAGGCTTCTGACATTTAGGTGAGTGGACACCTCCATGGAGATGTCTTCTGATCCTTTTTTTCCTTTCTGGTCCAAGTTACGTTAAGGACAACCTGCTTCCAACTTCTTAATGGGTGGAAGGCAGCTGTGCCACCCACTCAGCTCCCCCTTGAGAATCACTCATAGGAAAGGGGGCGGTGCTTGCCTCTCTAGGCGACCAGGGTGGGAAAGCCCACGTTTGATTTCTGAAGGTTAGGAACCTTTTCCAGGTCTTCTGAAACATTGCCCTTGTGAAATGCTAAAGTCCTTTAGAAGTGCTGAACTTGGGGGAGGGGACCATAATGGCAGTTGGATATTTATAGCTGACCCAGGCACTGAAAGTGCTGGGTTATGGAACTTGTGCCACACTGGAGGATGAGTCAGGAAGCAAGGAAGAGAGATGAACCCTGCAGATGCAACTGGCTTGAAGGGTAGTTGACATTTTGAAGTAGAAGAGTCTGCAGGGACAGCCATCCCAGAATTTGTCTCCAGCAGTCAGTTTGGTCTGAAAGAAATTTTAAATTTTTTTTTTTTTAAGCCTTATTCCTAGGTGGGGCTAAGGCCTTCGCTTGTCATCGTGTTTATACTCTTTCTGTGCGGAAAGGCTGGTCTCAGTTCATTGCTGCAATCTGTTCAGATACCTGATGTCTGTTGGCAAGACTTTCTAGTCCAGCTTGGGAGTGCTCATTGTTGCACTTGGTCCCCAAACAGCAAGTGACAGAATCGTCAGATAGTGAATGTAAGGGTCAGGCATATGCACACCTGTGTCTGATACAGCTAGGGTGACAATGCACGCCTCCACAGAGCTACACCTAAATAGTACTTTTGAAAAGTGATTGAAAGATAAATCTAACTTCCGGCTCTTGCCTATAGTTTAGTAAATATTTTAAGCGATATTTAGAAGGATGCACTGCAGAAATAAGAACACTGCTGAAAAGTAGGTTGGTTAACAACTATCACGGGGCAGGGGTGCAGGTTCATGAATGAACATACATATTTTAAGGTAAGTCAGCATAAGCTTAGTTGAAAAGAACACAGAGCAAAAGTTACAGGTTTAGGCTCTTGGAGACCTCACAGAAATGTGGATTTTTCCCCCCCTGCTAGAGGAAGGAGGTCACAGGAAACAAGAGAAGATGAAAGGGAGAAAGTGAAGATTTATAATACATAATACTCTAAAACATGATATGGTGCTGTTTTGTTCATTTAAATGAATAATGTTGTTCATTTCTGCCTAGCATTATATGGGGTCTTATATTTGGTATCGAATCATGCTTTATTCTTTCAGCGATAGCTGGGAAGTTAGCACAGTGCTCACATGAGTCAGTTATGTAACTATAAACCAAAGGCATTGCCTGCTTATCTGTTACGCCATCTATAAAAACAGGAAAGAGATCGGAGGCCCTCCACGTCTTTTTAGATACTGAGCTGGGATGCAGGGCTCTGACCTCTGTGTTGGTTTCCCCATGTTGATTTTTATCTTCTACAGAGAAAGAATTACTACATCACGAGAAATAAAGTCCATAGAACCACAGAACTGCTACCTGATTGAGGGACTCGGTAAGCAAAAGGAGGACCAAGAGAAGACAGCAGCTTTTCTTGGTCAATATTTTCCTGAGTCTGCTACATGATTTCATTCCCTATTATTTGGTGGTGGTGTGACTTCTGCACATGACTTTGCCCAGACTACCCCATACAAAGGGTATTTCTCCATCATCTGATGAATTTCACCTGCGACTTCTTGACTGTTGGCCTCTTCCCCCTTTCTTGACAATCTTGACTTCATGTATCCTTTTTCTTTAACATTCTTTAACATGACAAGTACATCTCATATATATTCAGACTTTCAGCCTACCTAGATGTCTTTCCAAAATATCACACCTCAACTCTGCAGCCATACCTCTCGCCTCTCAAACTGAAGGTCTTTCTCCACCACTGAGGCCAATTTTGTTTATTTAGGTTCACATTTTATTGACTTCAGCTTCACACTCCTGCCATTCCCTCCAAGGCTCCTCAACCCACAGCTGGTCCATTATTAGTTAAAAACCTTATGACCATTGGTTTCCTCTTTGTCCCCCCTGCTTCCACAGGGGACCGATGGGCAGCAGTCTCTTCAGTTCCCACTGACCTCACCTATTTGGCCCCCGCTACATTGTTTACTTGGGCTGCAAGCCTCCAGTTTGCTACTAGGAAATGAAACGAAAACCCAGCCCAGTCTTCTCACTGTCGCCAAGGAATGTGTTCTTTGTCTTTCTTGCCCTTGTGATGCCATTTTCTCCCCCACAGTTGCTCACTGAAGTCAGCCACAGATTCGTCTCTCTCCTCCTCACTCTCAGGGCACTTTGAATCTCAGTTGACTCCACGCCTACCACACGATTTATTTCTGAGCTGGTGTTCTCTTTCATTATCAGATTATAAACTCCCTAGGGTCAAAGACTGTAACTTATTTATTGGTATGAGACAACACAGCTTATTTTGTGAGGTGAATTTGGATTTTCTCTTTCTTTCCATATGTGCTTAAAAAATAGAAAATAGAAAAGAAACCCTTTGGTTTTGCTTTTCTATTCCTTTACCTCTTCCCATTTTCTGAAGGAGAATAATGTTGTCTTTTCTCTGTTGTTTTTTGACTTTTGAGACCATTTCTGAAGTATCTCAGGCTGCCTTTGGATACAATACATAGCAAAAAAAAAAAAAAATGAACTTGAACTTGTCATCCCCCTGCCTCCTCACAACTGTAATGTTTCTGATATGAATCATAGTGTAAATATTTTAGGAGACAGAGTTTTGCCAAAGGGGTCATGACCCACATGTCGAGAACCGGTGATCTAGAGAGTAATATTCTCACACAGAGAACCTATACATCTCAAAACATGAACTTGCCAAGCAATTTAGAGGGATAATTAGATTAGAGGATTTTTGATGTCTAGTCTAAGTCTCAAATTATATAAGTCAACTACATTTGAGAAACTAAAGCTAGAGTTAAGATTGTAAGCCTGATTACCCAAATAGTTTTAATATTTGCAAACTTGCTTAGACGAAATGAAGAAAAAAGTAACATGCCATGCTTTGCATCTGTAGCATATTTATATCTTGTGTTTGAAGAACTGAACATGTTAGGATGACCGAAGACCATCTGATAATAGGACAATATTAATGATTATTTTCCCCCATGTCAAAGGTGCCTGCCTCCTTTGCAAGCTCTGTCCTTGACACAGATCTATAAAACAGATGACACTATCAGTGCTTTACATGGAAGAAACTGACATACAGAGGGATTGAGTTAATTTCCTGATGGTCTTGATGTTCACCTAGATTAGGGTTGGGATGGTTTTTTCCATGCCTTTGCAGTCTTTTTTATATAATGTTGATGTATAATGTCTTATCTACTGACAACGTGTTTTTATTATAGGCATTCCAGAAAAAGTCTTATGAAAGAGAAAATGCAAATAGCTAGAAGATTACCAAATGGAAACTGAACAAAAGAAGGCGACTAGATATTTATTTAAATAGAAATAGCAAAAAAGACCTTAGTCAGGAGCCCAAACTGTTCAATAGTAGAAGGTTTCATGCAACACCGTGGGGGAAGTGAAGGACGTTAAGCAGAACACAGCAGGCACATAGCTGAAGGAAGTTCTGATTTTATTTTCTTTACAACCAGACCGGTTTTGTTTGTTATTTTATTTATTTATTTATTTATTTATTTAGTGTGTGTGTGTGTGTGTGTGTGTGTGTGTGTGTGTGTGTGTGTTTGCTTTACCAGGGCTCTAACCCAGAACCTCATGAATATTTAATCAAACACCCTACTCCTAGTCTGTATCTACAACTCAGAGACTTGTTAAGTTGTTCAGGCTAGCCTTTGTAGCCTTGAACTCCTTGTATAGCTCAGTCATACTTGTATTTGTAATCTGCCTGTGTGGACTGCAAGTAGATGGGATTACAGGCTTGTACCATCAGCCTCGGCTAAGAGCGAACTTTCAAAGATAATTTATCAGTGGAAAAAAAAAAAAACTCTTCTGGATGTTTATTTTTCCTTTCCCTCCCTTCCTGCTCCTCCTTCTTTTCTTATCTTTTGGTTTTATTCATGCACAGTCCTGCTAGCCTGGATTCCCAAGTACTGGGATTGTAAATGTATTCCTCAGTATTTTCACAGGATCAAAAGGTAAAATAATTCTCCCTTCAATAATGCTACCTCATTTCTCTCCTTTCGTACTAACTTTTTCTTTTTGCCAAGCCTATGAGGATTGAGAATGCTTTCAACAAGAAAGGTATGTGGCATCTCTTGGCATCTAACCCGAGCTATACTTGAAATATGAGTTGAATGCATTTGGGCTTTTTGTGAGCAGGATTATCAAGTTTGCACCTTTCTGTTTTTCTTTCCATCTGCACCTTCCTGGTCTCTAAGATGTGCTATTACTCCATAGTGAATTCCATTTGTTTTCTTAGCTGGCATTTCCCTAAGGTATGAAATAATAAAATTATACAAATAACATATCATTTTAATAACATCACATAAATATATAATTTTATAGAAAAATATATAATCTATAGAAACTATACAAAATAATAAAACTACATATAGTAAACTTTAAGAGTTACACTGTTTTGGGTTACTTACAGGGAATGATTGAAGAAGGAAAGAAATTATTGGAGTGAGGGCAAGTTGTGTAGGGTTGATAGGTTGAAATATAATAGGTGCTTCTTCAGGAAGGATGGAACTGAGGGTTTTGACCATAGCTGTGTACTGACAGGTATGAGGGAGAGCCCAGAGGACAGGACCCCCTCATTCCCACTGGTTTCCCTGCTGTTGTTATGCCTGGGACTTGCTGTGTCCATTTCCTGTAGATGAGGGAAGGGGAGTGTGGGAATGCTGTCAGTCTAGCTTTTCCACCTTGGAGTGCAAGCTTCTCTAGGCTCTGGGGTGGGGAGTCATGAAAAGAACACAGCACCCCTGGGTCCTGCACATTAGGTCAGGGTGATACTATCCTGGGAGATATATAAAATGGTATCTGGGAGAGAAAAGGAGCCAAATCAGAGCTCACACAACTCAGAATATCTTGTACAGATGTTAAGAAAGAAACTAAATTGCAATGTGGGTTGTGGACTGATGAACCCTTTTAAGGTGAAAATGCTGTAAGGGAAAATGCATTTCATACCTCTAACTCACAGAGCATTGCCAGGCGGGCATCTCTATAGAGAGTCCATTATGAACAGGAGCAGCCTCTGCTGGTATGGCTCAGGCTCAGAGGAGAACTGTGAAGATCACAATTCAGAATGGAAGCATAATGTTTCTCCTGAATGTGTTTCTTTTTCATGTCTTTGGACGGGTGAAATCTCCTAACCACATCCCTACAAACTGGGACACCTCTACTCAGATCATTTAGCTCCAAACTGAGACAAAGTTCAAATTGCTAACATGCTTACTTATTAAGTTAAACAGCTTGCATTTACAATGAAAAGACAGGTGTTATGTAGAATACACAGACACAACATTGAATTAAAGCCAGGCCTTGTTCCTAGGAGGCTTTTGGTCTATTAGGAAGCTAACAAGTAGCCACAGGGCACAGTGTGAAAAATGTCACCCTGGAGTCACCCTCAGACAACCATATTTGCACATAAAGATAGATGCTAAACCCAGGAGAGGTTGAAAAAGGCTGAAGCAGTGGCCCCATGCTCAGTAGCCCACTATCAGTAAGGAAGGTGTAAGAAAGGTCTAGACCAGGAGGAAGATGAAGACGTGTGTGTGTGTGTGTGTGTGTGTGTGTGTGTGTGTGTGTGTGTGTGTGTGTGTGTGTACAAATGAATGACTCATAAACTACTCAAGGAAGCATCAATACACAGAATGGATCCAGGAAGGCAAGATCATGGGAACTGAATCTCGGCCTAGGTGTGGATAGATTTGAATCTACATCAAGGAGCATGAGATTTATACTGCCAGCTCTAGCAGGCCTTCAGAAGACTTTAAGCAAGGGAATGGCAGGATCAACTTGGTAGTTTAGAAGATGAATGTCAGTACAGACAATGGAATAAGTGAGCAAAGCTTACCTATTAAGAAACTACTGTAGCTCCCTGAAAGTACATACATGATAAACAAGTGATATTTTGGGGGGGGATGAAGAAAAGGGAGGTGGCAAAGATAGCTCCAAGTTCCCTGCTCTGGGTGCCTGGGGATAGAAATACATTGCCAGTGTAAGATGGAAAATATGAAGGAAGGAAAGAAACCTCTAAATCTGTTTAAAACCTGTTGAACATGAGAAACCAGGTGGTGTGTTTAGTATTGGGCAATTGTAGAAGTCTGAACTTGCAAAAATAACTTGATTGGACAACCCAGAGCACGGGGGTGGAAACTGAAAGCACAGGACTAGGCTGTTTGCTTGCTCTGCCTGGAGAAACAGGCAAGGGTGAGCAGACCTTATTCTATATTCAGAACAGAGTGAGAGATAAAAGCAACAGGAAACCAAGAAGGGCTGAGAGGTGGGAGAATTATCAGAGAAGTAACCAAACTGTGATGCTGAAAATCGCTTCATTTGCTGTGTGGGTTTTCCCAGTGTGGATTTCACTCCATATGGAAATAGCATCAAGCTTTTCAAGCCATCTGGGCACCATAGATAGGTAAAACTTGATGAGCCAAAATGCTTAGGAACCGGGAAACTCCGGCTAGTTTTAGTTTTTACATTACTAGTTCCAGGTTAGTTAGTTTCTCCTCAGGCTCTGTTTGTCAGCACCTGCTTTTCTATCAGTTCCAATTTACATTTTCTCTGGCTTTGTTCTCATTATTGTGCTGCCTAGTGACAACCTAATAATCCACTTCCCCAGGTAACCATTTCCCATGTGTTCCAATTATTGTGGCTGTGTAAAAGACCTCCCCACACTTGGTGACTTTGAACAACAAGGTTGGACATACTGACACACGTCTCTAATTCCAGTGCTCGGGAGGCTGAAGCAGGAGGGATCATGAGTCCGAGGCCATCCTGGGCTACCGAGGGAGACCCAGCCTCAAAATGAAGAAAGTCCTCATTACTCTTCCTATAATATTGACAGGCTTAGTGAAGACAGTCTAATTGTTCCATTTGCATTAGCAAAGATGAGTCAAAGGTTGAAAACAAACCACCCAGGATCCTCTAGCTTTTCTCCCCACCTTTTGTGTTCCCTACATTCTGTGCTCTGTGGCTTTGAAAAACCAGACTTCTGTACTTCACTTATCACTCCCAAGGTACAATTTTGAGAGAGGGGATTCGGGAGAGATTGGGAAGAAGAAAGAAAAGGAGGAAGAGGAGGGAAGAAGAAACATAAGGACGAAGAGAAGGAAGAGACTGAGTACACAAGGGCCGCTAGGGCTGACATTTAGCCTTGGAAGTCACATGGCATCAGAGTTACCCCATTCCATTTGTTAGGGCAACTTCTAAGTCCCCCCAGGCTCAAGGGGTGAGAATACAGATCTTGCCTTACGGTGGGACAGTGTGAATGTCACCTCTTCAGAGGAGCATTTGGCTGAGCTCTGATGTGGAATATAGGTAGCTGTATTCGATAATCACCACCTCCAGAATCATCCCCTCCCCCATGTCTATTCAGGTCCTCTGGCTGCTAGATCACATCCTCCTCTCTCTCACTGCTCACACATTTCATACTTCTTTCCACAGAAAGATGCCCAAGGCTCTTATGGAAGAAGTGAATGTACCCAACTCTCTCTAATCAATCTCTTGCCACAGCCCGTCCCAAGAATGATCATTATCACACAGATCGCCTATTGAGTGTGGTTTAAGTGTTTGGTCTGACAGGTTGTAGAATGTGGAACACTTAGCATGGAGACTTCACTGGAAGATTTTCAGTGATGGCTGAATTCAGGATGTGAGGAACCGTCTCTCATGGGGAATAGCGTCGACTTTCTCAGAACATCTCCAAGTTATAATTTAAAGAATAAACTTAGGGCATGAATTTCTTTCTCTAGGGTAGGTTGCTTTGCACTTTCCTCCTGAAATGGAATCCTAAAGACCAGCTTAATTTTGCTTGTGGAGATGGACTCAGATGTTCTATTTGAGCAGCTACATCTGTGGGATTCCTAAACACTACCATAGTTTCCCAAATAAATGGTTGAAAGTGTCAGTGCATTTTTCAAAAGTTTGAGCCATTGAACTTCTTCTTTGAAGGCCCCACATATGCATTTTTGTGATTATTTTCTGTTTTGTGTTTTGCAGAGAATGGCTCTGAAGATATTGATATACTTCCTAGTGGGCTGGCTTTTATCTCGACTGTGAGTATTTGCCAACTGCTCCGATGCTCACATCAATAGCTGTATAGACAGTGCATTAAAGTTTCCAGCTCGAGATGCCAGATGGACCCCTACATGTTCTTCCCACCTCTGGGTAGAACAGTCACCTACAAAAGCCAAACCGCAATCTGGAGGGCTAATTAGAACACGGCAGGCACACCTAACTCTGGCTGCCTCATGTGGGCAGCTCCCTGTGGTCAGCTGCATGCTCAGCTAGGGTCTCTAAATGTGTATTGATGTCCATTTGACTCTCAGGCTAGTCTTCAGATCTGTCTTGTTGCTTCTCAGCTCCATCACTGCCTTATTAGGTGGTACTTCAGTGTCTGACAGTCATCTTCGCACTAACCAGTGTTCTTGCCATGCCTGCTTATGTATGGAGTGCTGGAGATATTGAAGAGTGTAACTTTAATATTTGGACTCACGGCTATTCCTTCAGTGTGTTTCCATGAGTAGAGGAGAAAGTGTATTTTGTTTTCAATGCCACCTCAACAAATTTTAAATGACCAAGAAGCCATGTTAGGAAACAAACAAAAAACCAGCAAACAAAAGAAGTGTTTTTAATAGATGTTGAAGATTGTCACGGACATTGGAAGAGGGTCTGAGATTTTGTTTGCTGATTTTGTTCTTATGGGTTTGTTAGATATTGAAAGGAGAGATGTGTGCATACCATTCATGAACTCTAGTGCCCAGCTAAGTCCCCACAGCTTGGGTCCAAGATTTTGAAAGAGAAGATTTACCACACTTTTAGTGTGAACTAACTTCTGTTGCCAGAATTTCATGTGGAAATGTTTCATTTTTCCCAAACCATGAACTTACATCAATTTTAGGTCTAAACAATTTTGGCTCAAAGTGAGGGATCATCCTATAGGAACCATGACCTGAATTTCCAGATTCTTAAGTATGCACAGTATAGCACAGAGAATGTCTCCGTGAATTTTAAATGGTAGGAGGCAGGGTCTCTTTCTTTACTTTTTCTCCAAACTCAAAGATAAAACAAAACTGTCTGGCTCTTTTTCCTTGACCTCAATTTTCTATTGTCAAGTTTGATTTCAGGGCTATGCCAAACAGACCTGCAAAAGTAATCATTCCATATAGTTAGGAGATGTCTTTGCTGTTAGGAAATATTTGTCTTTCCTACCATATGCCTCCCCCTGGCAACAGAGATTCAGAATTATTGCTAAACAGAAAGGAAACATTCTCATCCCAAACAATGTGTGAGAGATGTCGGCATCCCTTCTCTTTTCATCCCTCTGTGAACTAGCAACTCCTACTTGAAGCTTAGGATTTATGCTCTTTGCTCTGTCTCTCATCTTCCTGCTTTCAATAGCTTGTTCTCTTTGGTCTCTCCTATGACCTTCCCGCCTCCCTTGACAATGCTCAGAAGCTGCACATTCAGAGAGTGATCTATGCAAATACACATCCTTAGTCTTTCTAAAGCGACGAGGAAGGTATTTTTCCCCAGCTTTGAGACTTGGCATGCTTCTTGCCTACAGGCTAACTCCAATCCTCCCGCTTTGCCATTAACTTCTATTTCTCAGTGAAGCCTCCCTGTGGAGGTACACAGATTCCTCAGCCAGTCTTCCTTGGTGGCGGTGTTGGATGTGGATGGGCTATCATGGGAACCATCCTATCCTGATAGGTGCTTGTTGTGACATCATGTGGCTTTAAGTCCCTTGAATCTGGACTTGGATGTGTTCATGAGCACCCCAGGCACCCAGCATAATGTTGATCTTTTGAGGGGTGAGGATGAATGATGGTGTGGAAGACTTCAGTGAATGCCCACACATACCCACAATGCATCGAGGGAACTCAGAAGCCCGCTTCTTGAGGTGACTGCCACTATTTCCAGTGATGAGCAGTAGGAGTGGGATTGTGTGCTGTTACTAGCATACAGTGGGATTGCTGCCACCAGGTCTAACCCAATGGAATGCCATGGACAGAAACCTCCTCCCAGAAGCATTTCCTTAGCACTCTTCCTCCAAGCCATGTTTATTTGCAGTGCCTTACTCTTGCTTCTTTTGAATCTTTTTCTAGTCTCCTTGTTTGGATGACAGTGTCCTCATCTGTTTCCATAATACCAAGGTACTTGTAGAGATGTGCAGCCTTGAGACATACACATACCCTTTCATGTATTCATGGTGTGGCAGAAGAAGGCTGTACAATGAATAACTCAGACAAACGGCTAGATGACCCCCCCTTGGTATTGCCATTCTCTGAGTCAAAGAACTTAATGACAGGTTAGCTATAGGAGGGGAACTGAGAACTGAATTTTATGGTGTGATGGAATAAGTGGCATCCTTAACTGAGAAGAATAGATATCGATGAACCGGGAATCTATCCTCATTGGTGTGGGACTAGAGCCATGGTCTTAAAGAAAATAGACCTTTCCTCTCCTAGCAGCCACCAAGTGACAATAGCATTTCAAGAGTTCCTCCATGTTCCCTGCTAGAATGTTGACTAGCTTGATGCTGTGAGGTAGATGTCCCATTTTTGCCTGAAGGTGTACCCTTTCTTAAGAGCTTTGCCAGGTGAAGAAAGAGCAGAGAGAGGATCCACCAAAGAAGGAAGTGGTTCTGCTTCTTTAGTGAGGTTCATTACTTGATGGCACAGAATCTGGCTCAGAAACAGAATCCAAGAGAGTCAGGCCCTGCCCATCCCTCCTTCGGGCATGGTGAAGAAGGGAAATTCAAGAGCAGATAGCACTCCTATGATGGCTTCAGAAACATCCTTTCAACAGCACTGAGGTGCAAGGCTTGGATGAGGGGGTGTTTAAGAAAATATTGAAGGAGGGTGGAGAGAGGGCTCAACAGTTGAGATCACTAATGCTTTTCCAAAGTACCTGGTACAGTACTTAGCACCAGCATGGCAGCTCACTTCTCTCTAAAAGCTTTAGTTTCATGGTGTCCCACACTCTCTTCTGGCTTCCAAGGACAACAGGCCCACACATGGAACACAAGCATGCATGTACTCAAACATGCGTATGTATATGCAAGCATGCATATAACATAAAATAAGAATGACTAAATCTTTTCAAAACACTTGAAGATATGGATGGGTATGAGCAGAGATTACTGGCCACCCTAAGGCGAGAGGGCAATTGAAGGACCAGAAACTTGATGTATTTGCAAGAGTGAGAGCAGAAAGAGAAACAGGGAGAGGCAGTAGAATAGAATATGGAGAATATTTAGATTAGCAATTGAGGGGAAGAAAGAAGCCGATCTATTTGGAGTTAATTCAGAGTGATGAGGAAGAGATGTGACCATGAAATAACTGTTGACTTGTTTAGTTATTTTACACTTGGTGTAAAATAAACCAGCCTCAATGTTTGGCACAAGAAACTAGGGTATGTTTAAGGTTCAGTACCTTGTGGATGTCTACCGTTGACTGATAAATACTTCCTCACATTGGTAGAAAGGGTCACTGTCCAAAGTACTAGGATGAATATTTTGTACTCTTTGGAATAAAGATTTAAATTAGAATTTTCAGACATTCCTATAAGAAAAAAAAAAAAAAAACCAGAATCTTTATGATCCTAGCTCCCTGCGCTGACTTGTGGCTGATGTTAATTATGACTATCTAATATAAGTAGTGGCAGGAAAAGAACAATAGAATTAAACCACACACCCATTATCTATGCTTCAGGGAAGGAAAATATCAGATATCAAGATTGGAGAGATCTTAGCCAATGTAAGTTTCAGTTGTTTCATTTGATAGACGACCACCCAAGACCTTGGTAGACCAGAGGACTTGGAGAAAGTAACACAGCTTAGTCCCTGGCATTGTAATCTGTGGCTCCACTCTTTCTATATTAAAAATGCTTCCTTATCACAAACGTGGCTATTCCTGTACTCACAGTCAAGGTTGGAATGACATTGCTGACTCTCTGCCCCCAGATTAGATAAAGGCTATAGTTGACAGAGTGAAAAATCCTCCAAACTGAAATGAAATGCAGAACCTGGAACATTTCTGTTTAGCTTTGAGATTTGGGCTTCCATATGAAAATGTCATTTAAATAAGCATGTGTGTGAAGACCGATTCATTTAAATATGTATGTGTGTAGACTGGTTCATTTAAATATGCTTATGTTTGGTGTTTTTTCTACTTTTTATTTGAATTAGAAAAATATTGTTTTACATGTCAATCCCAGTTCCTTCTCCATCCCCTCCTCCCTACCACCCCTCCAACTAAAACCCTACCTATCACATACCCTTTCTGCTCCCCAGGGAGGGTGAGGCCTTCCATAGGGGATCTTCAGAGTCTGTCATAGTCTTTGGGATAGGGCCTAAGCCCACTCCATGTGTCTTGGCTCAGTGACTATCCCTCTATGTGGAATGGGCTCCCAATGTCCATTCCTATGCTAGGAATAAGTTCTGATCTACTACAGGAGGCCCCATGGATTTCTGAGGCCTCCTCCCTGACACCCATGTTCATGGGGTCTGGATCAGTCCCATGCTGGTTTCCCAGCTATCATTCTGGGAACCAAGAGCTCTCCCTTGTTCATGTCAGCTGTTTCTGTGGGTTTCACCAGCCTGGCCTGGACCCCTTTGCTACTCACTCCTCCCTCTCTACAACTGGATTCTAGTTCAGTTGATTGTTTAGCTGTGGGTGTCTGCTTCTACTTCTACTAGCTGCTGGATGAAGGCTCTAGGATGGCATACAAGTCAGTCATCAATCTCATTATCAGGAGAGAGCATTTAAGGTAGCCTCTCCTCTGTTGCCTAGATTGTTAGTTGGTGTCATCTTTGTAGATCTCCAGACATTTCCCTAGCACTTGATTTCTCTTTAAACCTATAATATCTCCCTCTATTATGGTATCTCTTATCTTGTTCTCCTCTGTTCTTCCCCCGACTCAACCTTCCTGCTCCCTCATGTCCTTCTCACCCTTCCTCTTCTCCCCTTCTCATTCCCCTAGCTCTCTCTCCCCTCCCTCCATGCTCCCAATTTGCTCAGGAGATCTTGTCCCTTTGCCCTTCTCCGGGGAACCATGTATGTCTGTCTTTGGGTCCTCCTTGTTTCCTGTAATATGCATATGTTTGTATACTGACTCTATTCTAAAGGGATTAAAATATCCAGGCATGCCAAACTTTGCACCAGACAAACCAGGAAGAATTTTCTTGATGGATCTGAATGAGCAAAACCCAAAGGCGCAAGCGCTGGAAATTAGTGATGGCTTTGACAAAGAATCACTGAATCCTCATGGGATCAGTACCTTCATTGACAAAGGTAAAACCTAAATACCTATGAATAAGGGAAATGGGGGAAAGAGTTGTCATAGATCCCCCTCTTCTCGGCATCCACGATAAGGGTAGAGGGCAGGAGCTATTCCACCAAAGAAATGTGTACAACCTTTGCAAAAATGATAATGTTTACAAAATATTGTTCTAAAGAAGAATGGATAGGAGGGATGGGAGGAAAGCACTCTTCTTAGTTGACTCCCACAACCTGGTTGAATACTGTTCAGAGAAATCAAACATATAAACTAAAGGCCTTTTGAAAATAATAGTATAATACACAAAAATAGCATATGGGAAAAATAGATAATTGAAATTATGGAAATTGAAACCATGATTTTGTACCTAAAAATACTGCCAAGAAAGTGAAAAAAAGCCCAAAGAATGACAGATAATGTCTGCAAAATAATATGTCTGGTTAAGAGTTTGTACCCAGAGTCTTACAACTTGTCTTCTGTTACTGTGAGGAGATACCATGACCAAGACAAGTCAGGAAGGAAAGGGTTTGTTTGACTTACACATCAATGTTCCTCACTAAAGGAAGTCAGAGAAAAAACTCTGACAGGGCAGGAACCTGGAGGCAGGAGCTGATGCAGAAGCATGGAGGAGTGCTGCTATGGGCTTGCTCATCATAGCTTTCTTATAGAGCCTAGGACTACCAACCCATGTTTGGTACCACTCACAATAGGCTGGGCTCTACTACATAAATTACTAATTAAGAAAATGCCTTACAGCTGGCACTTATGGAGGCATTTTCTCAGTTGAGGTTCCTTCAATTCCAAGGACTCAAACTTGTGGCAAGTGGACATAAAGCTATCCAACACACAACCTAATACCCAAAAGACAAATAACCTAACTTAACCATGGACAGGTTTCTGAACAGACATTTATCCTTTGAAAGTATACAAATAACCCTTCAGATGTAAAGAGGTATTTGACAATTTTTATCCATTTGAGAAATGTGAGTCAAGTCAAAAGAAGTCACTTCCTCATATCCACAAGGATGACATTAATAAAAGAGACAAGATGCTGGGTACATGGGTCAGTGGGTAATAGAACTTTTGTTCTTCAAGCATAGATACCCTAGTTTGAATCCTCAACACCCGCCTAAAAAGCCAAGTATGGCTGTTTATTCCTGAAAACCCAATATTGAGACAAGAGACACATGGGTCCTCAGAGTTCACCAGCCAACCATTGTAGCCAAAATAGTGAACTTCCAGTTCAGCCAGAGAACCTAGCTCAGGGCAATAAGGCAGAGAACAATAGAGCAGGACAGCCAGTGTCCTGCTCTAGCTTCCATACTCACTCATGTGCGTGTAGCCCACATTTATACATGTGCACATGCTTGAGCATCCCACGCAGGCACACATACACATGCACGCACACACAAGACAAGCCAAGATGTCGAGAAACTGGGCCTCTTTGTTGGTGATACTGTGAAATAATGCAGCCACCTTGGCAAATAGTCTGTCAGTTCCGAGTATGGTGTTCCCATGTGACATGGCAGCTTTACTCTGTGGTGTGTTATCAATGAACCTGGAAACACTTCTACCCAAATATTCCTACACACATGTTCATAGCAGCATTTCTCCTGGTATCTACATGTCCCTTAACTGATGAGCATGCAATATAATTTACATGAGAGAGCATCATTTGACAATAGAAAGAATGAGTTGGGATGTGTGCTATGACACAGATGCACCTTGAAAATGCTAGGCTACACGGAAGAATTCAGTCACTAAAGATCACTAATTACATGATTCCATTTACATGAAACATCCAGTAGGCAAAACTGTAGACAAAATGTAGATCAGCAGTTGGCAGAGGCTGGACGGTGGGGAATGGAGAGGAACAGCTAAACAATGAGTGATTTCTTTTCGGGGGCGGGAGGGGGGTGGGCTGATGCAAACATTCTGGAATTAGGTGGTGGTTATTACTACCCAACTCTATGAATATACTAAAACTCACTAAATTTTACATTTTGCAAGACCAAATTTAATGACATGGGACTCATATCTGCAGAATTTCCCCAGAAACAAATCATATACTATCCACTCAGAAAATAACAATCTCTGATACATTTTGCTTGGTCATAGCCCATAATTGCAAACTAATTTAAATTTAATGCATGTGTGAATCCATTGAGAATGTGGGGGCCATTGTAATGAAGAGGGAATCTCCCTCATCCAACATTTTTTTTATACTTTACTTGCTAATTTTTTTCTCCAGGTATATTTCTCTAAGTTTATTCACCATAAAAGTGTATGTAACATGTTCATTACTGGAATCTGAGAGTCAAGTACAGTGACTAAGAGAGAGTAGGACCTGAGCAAACAGGTGTTCAGAGACCATGTGAATATGGTTATTGTGAGGCAAGGCAGCTCATAAATAGACCACTTAATAAGATGGAGAAGCTGAGTGGAGAGAAATGCAATGCAGAGCTGACTTGACTTAGCAAATGGCTGCTTCTGAGTTAGAAGCCAGGTGTTTTCACTTAGCTTGTGTCTTTTATGGGGTAAAACGTGGGAACCACATTGTACTTAATCCCCCCCAAACCAAACTTTTTTGCCTGCCTGACCCTGTGCTGGCTAACACACTCCATGAGAGCCTATGTAATAAAGTGGTCAGACTAACCTAGACTGTTTCACTGTATGGGACATTAGAGTTCGGGTTATCGGCAGCTGGCATTTTAAGATTGGATCAGTTTATAGATTAACTGCCAGCCATATGTCTAGGCTTCCAGAATTTGAATATATATGATTAATGGCCTGTTATATTCATTAGTCACCTTCCTTAATTAAGGGGCTATTTCACCAGAACAAAACCTTTCCCAGAGAACTGCCAGGTTAGAGCAAGGAGGTAAAATAAAATAATCTTCACAAAGCTTCTCTCTCTCCTGTGGAAAGAAGAAGATCCAGCAGAAGATTAAGCATGGGCAAAACCAGGGCAGCCTGAATGATTACCATTCTGTACTATACTGTAGCCCACAAAAGTGTCTGTTTATTTAGGGCCTGAAATTCAACCCAGTTCTGTTGCCAAAGGCTGGGTGCTATAACACAGCAAGATCAGATCAAAGGAGAGATTTAGCAAAGGAGCAGCTCCCCCTGATTTGCATAGAACAGCTCAAGGTGTTCAGGGGCCCTGAGTGTATATTTGGCATGCCGGGGCTCAGACTTGCTCCATTACCTGTTTGGTGTCTACATGAAGGAAGTGAATAAGACCAAAAACAGAACAAGTTCCACAGTGAGAGGATGGGACCAGTCCCTCAAAAACTCAGACCTATGCCCTTCTGACAAGTCAGGAAAGGGCACTGATATCAGTCTCGTTCACAACAGTTAACATTCCAGAGTGAAAACAGGAAGGTAGGGACATTTTTGAGGCTGGTGATACTCAGATTTAGCTGGTTTGTTTCCTTTGGTATATTTACTTTACTGTCCACGGAGTTCACTGAGTTGTTACTCAACCTCAGGTATTTGACTAGTTCTAGTTCACTCTGTAGCTGGCAAATAACTACTGTTTGTTTTAAAGCATTCACATGCCCTGAGATTTCTTGAACTTTTCGTTGAAATGTAGACATTTGTGACACGCCCCTAATTTTCTCGGTAGAGATCAGCTTTCAGTCCCTTAATGAAAGGCCATCTAGGGAAACTATAGGTGTTTACCTCCCACTGTATCTTCCCCTAAGACAGGGGATGCTGGTGAGGCTGAACAGCTCAGTGCACAGACACTCATACTTTGCTCTGATCCTTGGAATTGGTAGAATTACCGGGTTACCCACTATTTGAGTTTCAATTTCTTCAAAAACAGGAGATTCTAGCACTGTGTTAATGACTCATCCAATGGACATGCAAGACACCTAAAGGAAACCCTTGCACAGTAGTAAGTAGCACATGCCTATCTAGTCCCAACCACTCAGGACTGGAGACTAGAGGTTCAAGAAAAGTCTGTATAACTAAGCGAGACCTCATCTCAGGACAACACCAAAGCCTTGGGAGATGAACGGGTTTTTAAAGAAGTCTAAATAATGGAGGCAAGCAAAGTCAACTTCTTGGGAATGACATCTTCCTTTGACATTATACCCAACCGCCCCATTTAGACAACACTGTGTATCTTTATGTGGTGAATCATCCTCACATGGGCTCCACTGTGGAGATATTTAAATTCGAAGAGCAACAACGTTCTCTCGTCCACCTGAAAACTATAAAACATGAACTTCTCAAGAGGTATGGAATTAAAGCCTTTCATGCTTCTTTGTATTTCACACCTCCTCTGTATGCATTGTTTTGTTTGGTTCAGCAGGCATTCTTAAACATTTGTTTTGCAGCAGTGTTTTCTTCTAAAGCTTTTCGAGAGCTTCCTGTGGTGGGACCTCAGTAGAAATTGCCATGTTCAGTATTGAATGTCTCTATATTTTCCAACTTTTTGAAAGTTCTTTAATCCTATAAAGGTGCTCAATTAGATTCTCAGCTCTAATTCCAACCTCTTTGCCGCAGCAACTCAATACTGTTCTCTCTTTAAACACCTACTCCCTCTCCAGTTGTCCTGGTAGGTTGTGTTCTCTGAGCCTTACCCACTGTGAGTTATAAACAACCTCCGGATGGCTTATTTCTTTGTATCTGATTTTTAAAAGAAGAATTTGATTTAAAAATCCAACAAACAAACCTGTACCTGTGGGCACTTTAGAAAATTACCTTTATTAAATGTTTTTGACTATGTACCCAGTGCTATGTCAAAGTACTTTAACTGAATTTTCACATAGCATTTAGTAACAAGCAAGGGTAAACTGAGTCTCTTAGAAGTAGTGGGCGAGGTAGGTTGCCTGAATCTGTTTGTTACTGGCATAAGCATCATGGAAGCCTGGGTCCATCAGCTCCAAGTTGCATTCTTAATTTGTAATGATCTACACCATTTTTACTGAATTTGTAAAATTAAATTTGTTTTAGTGGGTAGTCAATTTCAAGCCTTAAACAATAAAGGGCTTTTCTCTTATGAAGTAAGCATAGCACTAGGTTCTGGGCCACAGTGGACCCGAACCTCCCAGGATTTCTGGGGAATGGGATAAGCCACTTACGATGTGCTTCAATTTCATAGGAAAATGAGGCCTTTTCTCATTGACCAGGTTTACCTCACTGGCCGGTTATGAGGAATATATGACCTAACAGAAGGGGTCCGAGAAAACACCTGATCCAGGGAACCATCGGGAGGGTGTTAGGTCCTAGAAAACTTAAGTCAGAGATAATCCTGAAATAAAGAAAGGGGAAGGTTATGAGTTGAATTAGGTCCTACAAAGCTGTAAAATGATTCCCAAGCCTTCCAAATTCCACTTTTCTAAAATTTTATATAAATATATGTGTTTAAATTCCTAACCACACATACCTCAAAATGTGACCTTACTTAGAAAAATACCTGCAGAGGTAACTACAGAAGAAGTGTGACTGCAGTAGGATATATTCTTAACCCAGTAAGAAGGCAGACAGATGCAGAAGGATGACGAGCAATGAGAGATCCATACCGGCACTGGGGGGAGAGATCTCCAAGTCAGTGAATGGATGCTAGCTGAACCTGGAGAAGTAAAAAAAAAACAGGTCTTCCCACAGAAATGTGGGAACGTGGCTCTGCTAATATGGTTCTGCTAACTCCTCGATCCCATACTCTTACTCTGAGAACTGTGTTAGAGTAACTCCTGTTGTTTTAAATCCATACAGTTGATGGCAGCTTACTATTACTGACCCAGGAAATACACACATGGGGAAGCTGTGGGAAGCCTTGTCAAGACAGCCTTTACCAAGTGCAGTTATGACACAGCTTGAAATCTTGGGGTTACCCTGAAGAGGCAACATGAGCCTCATTTCACAATGATCTGACCAAGATAAAAGAGAGAAAAGTTTATCCTGCAACCTCATCTCCTTTTAGTTAAAGGTACCCTAGGGGGCCTTCTCATCCTTATCCTGCCCACTTGTACATGTACAAGTCAAACCCAGTGGTGCCCTGTCTTTTGACAGCGACAAGTCTGTAGTGGGAGGCAAGAGGCCAAGATATAAGGTAAGGTAAGGTGAAGTGGTACCTGTGGGAAATCTGTCAGAACTGATTGAATCTGCTCCTACTTGGCAGTAGAAATAGGCAGGAGAGGTGTCAAGGACCTAAAGAGGAGCTTGAGAGGGGCTGTGACACACGCACATTGAGCAGCAAGTACAATTTTAAGACAGAGTCTCACAGAAGGAAGCTAAGGGGATTTAACGTAGAGTGACAGTCAGCATATTAATGTAATTTATGGTGTCAGTAGAGATCTTTCTGGAGAAGGGGCACTTAGGATGATTCAGGAAAGATAAATAGGCCAGTGATAGGGGACACTGCATGAAAATTGCAAAATATTTCCTTTCCTCATCTAAATTTCCCTTTCCTAAAATTGTGTTTGTTTGAAACAAAAATGGTTCATGAGATGGCTTAGTGGGTAAAGGTGCTCACTAGCAAAGCTGACAATCTGAGGTTGATCTCTGGGCATACATGGTGGAAGGAGAGATTGGATTTCAGCAAGCTGTCCTTTGACCTCTACACATGCACTGTAGACACACACACACACACACACACACACACACACACACACACGTAAAATACCTTTCATCTTTCTTTTTAATTTCAAGTCACATTTCTTTTCTTTTCCAAAATATACATGTCTTTATGACTTAGTGGTTATAACATTAAACACTTTCTTGAAATAAAGAACAACAACAAAAAAAGGCTGGGTGTGCTGCATGTCTTTCATGCCAGTGCTCAGGAGGCAGAGGCAGGCAGATCTCTGAGTTCAAGGCCAGCCTTGTCTACAGATCTAGTTCCAGGACAGCCAGGGCTGTTATACAGAGAAAACCAAAACAAGAAGGAGGAGGAGGAGGAAGAAGAGGACGAGGAGCAAAGGAAGGAGGAAAAAAAGGAAGTGTATCACCCATTATCCTATCTGCTTAAAGAAAACTTAAATGTCAATCAAGATAGACTTGGTTAAGCTATGACAGGAGGGAATGCCTATAGGTCAAAACTCTGTGGTTTTCTTTTATTTCCTCATTCAAGCTGCATGTGTTGATCAGGACTTAGTGTCACATTGTCCTCACTTAGGGTTTTCAGAGGACCAAAATAGTATACCCTCATAAAAATTGCTTGTTAATATGAAAATACAATGGATCAGTTATTGGCTCTCCAAGTCTTTCATTGAAAAGCCACACTTGGGTCCTAGGAAGATGACTCAGTCAGTAAAATGCTTATCTTACAAGCATGAGGACTGGAGTTTGATTCTCAGAACTCATATTAAAAAAAGAAAAGAAAAAGATTAGCTACACAAGGTAGCATGTACTCAAAATCCCAGTGTTGGAAAAGCAGAGACAAGTAGATCCTTAGGGCTTAGTAGTCAACCAGCCTACCCTATTTGGGGAGTTCCAGGCTGACAATAATAATAATAATAATAATAATAATAATAATAATAATAATAATAGAGGTAGATGGGACTTGAGAGTACACCTGAAGTTAACCTCTGATTTGCTCTCTCTAGACACACATGTGCATATGCACACAAATACACACAAAGAAAAGATGCCATATACATATCTTTTCTTTTTTGTCAAAACAAGTAACATGACAGTGCTTAACTTTAAGAATTAAGCCTAATTCTAGAGGAAAAACAAAGATACTCTGTCACAGCAAACCATCATTAACATCTACAAATCTAGAGTTTGTTAGTATACATATTCATTTTTACTTAAAGTCATAAATAGCCAAAAGAAAACATGTGGAAGTAAAATCTGAACATTTTATGGGATTAGTTATTTCATCTAATTCTAGTCTATCATTTAAAACTGAGGGACATGGTGATCTAGATAAATGTTAGTGGCTTTGTTAATAATCAAGATATTCAAATATCTTATGGGTTTCTCTCCCTTTTTCTTTCTAGTGTGAATGACATTGTGGCTCTTGGACCAGAGCAGTTCTATGCTACAAGAGACCACTACTTTACCAGCTACTTCTTGGTACTTCTTTAGTTGATCATGGACTTCCACTGGACTTACGTTCTTTTCTACAGCCCAAGAGAGGTCAAAGTAGTGGCCCAAGGGTTTAGTTCTGCCAATGGAATCACAGTCTCACTAAACCAGAAGTATGTGCTTTCAGAATGGTTCTGCCCTTTGCCCTTGACACTTTGAAGAGCTCCTTGCCTCAAGAACTCCCTTATGTTCAAGCAGTCAACAAGAGGACTTAGTTGTACCCAGTGTTCATATGAAAAATATGATCCTAATAACTATTTGTTCTCTTGAATTTTAAGTCTCCTCAAAAAAAAGAGAGACTAAAAAAAATATGGACTTTGTTCCAAATTCTTACAAAACTAAATACACTCTTTTCCAACATTCTTTCTAAAAGCAGGATGGATATGCAATATCTTTGCCCCTTATAACCCCAGAAGGTATTTAACCATGTGTATAAGGCCATACTAACTAAAAGCTCTAATTAAAAAGAGAAGCTGCCTTAGTGTAAATAGAGTTCTTAATTGGCCTAAGTAATAAAAACCCAGAGTCAGATATAGAGAAAAATGCTGAGAGATCAGAGAGAAGGAGCAAACCACCACACCTTACTTCCTTAATGTCTCAGCAATCAACAGCTCGATTTCCTGTTTCTCCCTGCTTATATCCTGTTTCTGCCCAGCTAGCTCGCTTCCTGTCTGTCTATACAGATCTCCAGAGCTCTATGGTTAGCTAGTGACAAGCTCCATTCTTTGACCCTCAGATAGGTTTTATTTGTACAAGCAAGATATCACTACACCTTAGACAAGTGATGGTACAATTGCAGACTTATGAAACTCTGTGACTACTTTTAAGAAGCATGGGAATGTGGGATAATCTCTTGTACATTATGAAGATATGTCTTTATCATGATACCTTCTGACTGGTTTAATAAAGAGCTGAATATACAATAAGTAGGCAGGAGAGGATAGGTAGGATTTTCTGGGAGAGAGAGGAAGTGGAGGAAGAATCTAGGCATGGATTTCACCAGCAGACTCGGAGCAAGTCAGACATGCCATGCTAAAGGAGAGGTAACAGAGTCATGTGGCGGAATGCAAATTAAAAAATATGGGTTAATTAAATTATAAAAGCTAGTTGTAAACAAGCCTAAACTAAAGGCCAAGCTTTTATTATTAATAATAAGTCTCCATGTTGTTATTTGGGGGCTGATGATCCAAAGATAATCCAACAAGAAAGCTTGCCTCATGAAATTTTACAAGAGAACATCCCGGGCAAATAGTTGAGACTTAACGGCTTTTAAAAACAGAGGAATACTATGAATAATATCATTTAGATTTGAGATTGTGAGTGGAGATGATCCTTGTAGAAAATGCCTTTAGACTAGATGTGGTGGAGCATGTCTTTAATGCCTGAACTTGGGAGGTAGAGACAGGAGGATATCTGTTATTTTGAGGCCAGCCTGATCTACATAGTGAGTTCTAGGATAGCCAGAGGTACATTGTGGGACCCTTTCCCAAGAAAACAAAACAAGACAAAAAATGACCACAACAAAAAGCAATGACTCAGCATTTTTTCCTGTTTTGGAAACACAGTGTGATTAAGCTTTGTGACCACCCCCAAGTTAGGAAGTATGGACTCTTTTGCTTTGGAAAGATGTTCTTACCTCATTCAATTGACAAAAATTAATAACTCCTAAGTCATGAGATTGAGCCTATATGTCATCTACAAAACTACTTTTCACTGCATGGTCACATTTCACATTAAAAACCTATGGACATTTCAATAATATTAAAGTACCACCCTGTTAATCTACTTTTATAATATTGTAGAAAGACATCACAGTAGTGCTTCAAACCAATATGAATTTTTATATTTGTTCTCCAAAAAGAAGACAGTGCTGTATTTCATTACTACTTGCTTAATTGTAAACATTGTTTACTTTACAGGTATGTCTATGTAGCTGATGTAACAGCTAAGAACATTCATATAATGGAAAAGCATGATAATTGGGATTTAACTCAAGTGAAGGTAAGAGTGCCCCACCCAACACACACAACAAGGCCCCATACATAAATCTCATACTTGACTCAGAAATGTTCTTAAGGATCCATGGCTACTGACATTTTTTTAGAGTGCAATCACAAAGCCCCCTAAAAATACCAGTTTTCAGTACCAAGAAGTAGTGGTAGGAGTGGGGAGGGCAGATTACATTGAGATAATATCTTCACTACTTTCTCTCTGTTGAAGGTCATTCACCTGGGTACCTTAGTGGATAATTTGACCATTGACCCTGCCACGGGAGATATTTTGGCAGGGTGCCATCCTAACCCCATGAAGCTATTGAACTACAACCCCGAGGATCCTCCAGGGTCAGAAGTAAGTACTGATACTTGAATTCACAGGCAAGTCTGCAGAAGTGAACATTTGCTGAGATGATATTGAGGGGATTTATGTGGGTCACATTCATATTCCAGAATGGAACAAAACTTTTTAATGAAAATGAAGAGATATTAGCAGTTTAAAGAGATGGTGTTCCTAAGTCTTTTCAGCCACCTGGGGCCAATGTAATGTCATTGCCAGACAGTAGGTCCTAACTTCATGAGGGCTTTCTTTGCTATGGAGAGTAATGAAGAAAGATGAGCCAGATAGTTTATATTGACATAGGTGGTCCCACGGTGTTTCTAATGAAGACAAGCTCTGAGAAGCTGCTGCAGGGAGGCTGAGAGGGAGACATGTGTAGAACCATCTCCATTCAGACAGCCTGTATTGAGGGTTTAAATAACTGGAGACTCTGAAGTAGATGAATGTTTGTTCTTGGGTTTTAATAGGAAAGTATTCAAGAGTGCTTTCTTTTAAAGATTATTTTTAAAATTTAAAAGTATATTTTTCTAAAGTGAAAAACCATTGAATTATCTATAGCATTTAAACCAATTGCATAAGACACTGCATTCCTATGACATAGAGTTTAATAATGATATACATTTGTAAACTCCATTGAACTTAACTACAGCTATCAATCCTTTCACACATTCTTGGAAAAACTTATTTATTGACATTTACATCTTGCCAGCTATTTTTCTAATGTTTAGGCTATATTAGAAAATGAAACATGCACTGGTGGGTGAGATGGTAAAGAGCACTTGCCATGCAAGCCCAATGAGCTACGTTCATTCTTGGGTCTACCATGGAAGGAGAGAACCAACTGCTGAAAGTTGTTCTCTGGCCTCTACAAGGGATGGTCATGTTTATGCCTGTACTTATATGCCCATGTTCTCACACAATCACACATGCTTACTAAAAATATAAACAATAAAATAAAACTTTAAACAAGCATACAAGGCCCCTATTCTTAGGGGACAGACACTTAGTGAACATATAAGTTCACTTACAAAAGGAACATATAACTCACACAGATGGTAAGTTGTATAGGGAAAAAACAGCACAGTTAGGTAGAGGGCTGAAATGCCTGTGAAAAGATATGGACAGGTCCTGGGTTGAAGACAGAGAAGAGAATAGAAGGTGTGGCTTGAAGAAAGGTATGACATGTTTGGGGAGTTGAGAAACTGAGATTCAAAATTTAGCTTGTTCATTGACCCAGGAGGGGTCATTTCTATTGAAGAGTATGGCTGGTTTTTTTTTTAAATTTTTTATTTGAAATTAACACATCGGTCATGAAATCAGTTATTGAGCATCAAGAAATATTTGAAGGCAATCCTATTGTTGAGGTTTCATGGGTGCAGTTTCCCAGTAATGTCTAGAAGAAATTATATATAAGAACCGCACAATGACAACAGCAGTTGGCATGTCAGTGTGGGTGAGGAAAATATCACAAAGTCCTACCTCTAAATGAAGAGTTACGGCCAGTCAATGGCGGCTGAGAGAAAGAGAATCAGTTTTTTCCAAGTATGAACCTTCTGATAGGTTATCAGTCCCAAGTAAGCAGCCCTAAACACATGCACACCAGCAGTAAACAGCCTCAGCAGGGTGTGTGTGCATGTAATAGTAAAGTTAGATAGAATTTCAACAATAAGTTTCAGCAAAGTAGATCAACTTTTGCTCTGGAATTAGATAGTGAAAATAGTGAATACAAGCTTTCCATCACACACTTGCTGTTTACCCACTAGCCTTTTTGTATCGCTGATACTTATTATATGGAGCAATCTAAAGCAAGGCATAAGTTTATGTAGTTTCATTATTAATTTTTTCACACTTATATTTATATAAAAATAGTCAACATATTCTGACTTTGTCCTAGATTCTTTTTGAAATTAAAATTTTACACACACACACACACACACACACACACACACACACACACCTGCCCTTATTCAGATATATACCCTGCTGCCTTCCTAGAGACAGACAGAGCTTCCCAGCCACAGCGTCTGCTTTAGGTGTGTCCTTGTTAGGGCCACTATTGCTGTGATGAAGCACCAGGACCAAAGCAACTTGGGGAGGGCAGGATTTATTTGGCTTACACTTCAGCATTGCTGTTCATCATCAAAGGAAGTCGGGACAGGAGCTTAAACAGGGCAGGATCAAGCAGGAGCTGATGCAGACGCCATGGAACTATTTACTGGTTTGCTCAACATGCCTGCTCAGCCTGCTTTCTTATAGAACCCAGGACCAGCAGCCCAGAGATGGCATCTCCCATAATTGCTAATTAATAAAATGCCCTACAGCCTGATCTTATGAAGGAATTTCTCAATTGAGAAACTGAGAAATTCAGATAATTCTAGCTTGTATCTAGTTGACATAAAACTATCCAGCACAAAGGGAATGCAAGTATCATCATGACATAATTGAAAACTTGATCTGTTTTCCACGCCCCTATTTTCAAAAACCCATGTTGATTCTAAATAAGCCTTATCTAGCCATAGTTACTGACCCCTCTCCCCTTAGCCGTCTTGTGCTTTGGCATGAGATCCAAGCTCCTTTGTTTTCATGTAGCAAACTCGAAACAAAGTTGTTGGAGCTTGGAATGAAAACAAAAATGAAAGGTAACAAAAAACAATCTGAAGCTTCATTCTATTGCAAAAGATCAATAAAGGAAACCTTTGCTTCATGGTAGGTTGTTTTCCTTTGATTCGGTCTTTGTCATCCACCACCCCCACCCTGCCCAGTGAACTTTATCCAGGCTACTTGGAAACCTGAGAAGTTGCTTGTTTACTGATTAGCAAAACTTGAGTGAGCTAATCCTGGGGATCAATAACAGCCCTAGGCAGGGGTGCCTCCAAACCCCTGTGCTTCTTTTCTGTTTCCTGGCCCTTTCACAGATGCATGGTCCATCAGCAGTGAAGACTACCACCTTTTTGACTAGCAAGTTGGCCTAGCTGACTGGCCAACTGGTTGTTCCTTAGTCACCTTGTCCCAGGATTCTGTCCTCATGCTATAAGCTCAGTCAAAGGCACATTCAAAGTCAGAGAACTACTGCCAAGTCAGGAGTTAGACCAGTGTTTATGGGGCCCAAATTTCTTTTCTAAGGATTCCAAATTATCAAATTGCTGAAGGTCTCTATAGACGAATTTGATTAATGTTAACAGCTAGTCTATTTTAGTGTGGAGATGTTGTTGGGAGTACCTTTGTTAGGAGAAAAGTTAATTCAGATACACTTCAGATTTTTAGCTTATTGGTTTCTGAAAGTATGTATTTGTCCCAGAATTATTGGGAAGGGAGTTATCTCTAGATAGCTTTTCTTGGATACTAATGAGTGATCTTCTCTTGACAGGTACTACGGATCCAGGATGTTTTGTCAGATAAACCCAGGGTGAACACACTCTATGCCAACAATGGTTCTGTGCTTCAGGCCAGCACTGTGGCTTCTGTGTACCATGGGATAATGCTCATAGGCACTGTGTTTCACAAAGCTCTGTATTGTGAACTCTAGGTCTTTCTCAAAAATCTTCATAATTTCACATTGGACAAAAGTAAAATTGTAATACCAAATGGAACTGTAATTATTTGCAATTACGGGGGGAGTATGTATGGCTTTTCTTATGGAGAAAAGGAGTACAGAAACTTCTGCCTATGAAATCGAGTCAAGTTAGTGGAGCAGCCAGAAACCCAAGTGTTCTGTTTTGTTGAGTAGCCCCAACATTCTGTATATGGGGGGATGTACAGGCTGTGACAACTGAAGTCTTGTGCTCTCTTAGATTAATGTCTCTTGGTAACTGCTTACAAAATTGCCTCCAGTAACTGTGATAGTCTGGCTCTGCTGCAGCCCAGACTAGTGAAAAAGCTGATGTTTAACTACTTACAGTTTTTACTCTGTTTTCTCTCTTGAGTGGCACACCGTCTACCAATCAAGTATCCTGACCTACAACTCTCATCTTGAGACCCCAAAGCCTGCCTTGAACTTTGTTTTGCCCAAAAATATAGCCATACAGGGAATGGGATTCTGGATATTTGACATAGACAAGCCTCATCAGCTAGCCTAGTGTGCAGGCTGTTCTGATGTGCTTGTTTGAATAAGACTTCGTTTACACTTACAGTTGCATTGTGAATGTCACTAATCTTCTTGGCTCTGAATACAAGATGGACCTTGGGACAGCTATCTTTAGCCATCTCCGGCTTTCTCTACTTGTCAACTCAATAAACATTTTGTGAGCACTCCAGCTGATTGGTACCAATAAACCTAAAATGAATAAAATTATTATGGCCAAACAGCATGTCCTAAGGACAAACATAAACTTGATTTGATTTGAAAAAATACAGACATTCCTTTCTTGGAAAAAAAAAAAGAAAACACCACCACCACCAAAACACATGCGCAATGATGACATCTGTCAAATCATTGATGAACATCAATGTACCCATGTTCCCTTTAGCAACTTCAGTTAGGGTTACTCATCAGCACCATCCCTCACATACGTATATCTTCCGGTGATGGGGAATTAAGGAGACTTCTCTACATCACTTAGTTAAAAGTTTTGCAAATCGTTTTGTACTAGGATAAAATGGTACTCTTTTACTCTTTGTAATCATTTCTGATTTAGACATGAAGAGTTTATAACTTTTGTTGCTTCAAGGAAGGAATGGCCCAGCTGAATATTACAGGTGGTTGTCATATTTTATGTTTCAAAACATAGTTATATGTTATGGAGAGTTAGCTTAGTTGTTACAATGTTTGCCTTACAAACACAAGGAGGAATGAAATTTGATCGCCAACGCCCCCATAAAAAATCTAGGTGTGGTGGTATGTGCCTGGAATCCCAACAGTGGAGAAATAGATTTACTGGGCCTGGCTGACTGGCTGCCTAGCATATTTGGTGTACTTCAGGCCACTGAGAAACCCTGACTTACACAACAAAAGAACATAAAACGTGCATGATGCCTACAGAGCAGCACCAGATGTTGTTTTCTGACCTCCACACACATGTATACACGAGTATGCAAGTCTTCATGTATACGCAAAATGTAGTTATGAAGAAGATTCAGAATAAAAACAGAAATTAAGGCCATACATGCTTATAATTTGGTACATTTTGAGTAATATGACAATTTTTTAAATCTCCAACCCTCACATTCTCTGAATTACTTAAAATTCATCTATTAAGGCTTTACTGAACAAAAGAAACTAAATTAAAACCTACGACTCCAAAGAGCTGAATATCCAGCAAAGGTCGGAGCAAATGTAAACCATCCCCACATTTTATTCCCAGAAGCCTAAAAGGAAAGTTGCCTTGGCATTGAGAAAAATGGAAGGAAGGACCAGATGTTGGTAGAACTGATGATCCCATGCCTCTATAATTCAGATTCCAACTGAATAGTCAAAACAGACCTCAAACCCTGAGAAGTCGAAGAGTAGAGTGGTAGTTACCAGAGACCAAGAGAGTAGGGGTTTTCTGGGAATGGAGAAGGAACGCTAATCATTGGGTTCTAAGTTACAGAAAGAGTGAAGTAGTTTAAGGGTGTTATTACCCAGAGATTAATATAGATAACAAAAATGTTCTCATTATTTCAAAAATCTAGGGTAAGGAATCTTGAATGTTTTCACCACCTAGAATGGTAGATGTTTGAGGAGACTGATATTTTTATCCTGACTTAAATATTATAATGCTTCAAAAAAATCACCCGGTTCACCATACATATGTCCCAACTAAATTTTTATGCAGCAATAACATATCAAGTTTTGAGCTTACTTGTCCTGTTAGTGAACTATCACTTACCTGCAGAAACAAATACAGGTCCTCTTGTGACTTTATACTATGTGTTAAGAAAAGCCTATAAATATTTTCCCAAGGACAATAAGTAGGCATTCATGAAAAATATAGGGAAAAGTTTACATAAATAAGAACAGAACAGTAGAAACAAATTACAGCATAAATAAGCTCACAAAGAACTTATATTTACTGGAATGATGACATGATTGACAACACTACTTAAAATGTTAAAGAAATAAAAGACAAGCTTAAACTCGGAGAACAGCAAACTAAAAGAACTGACCTAATGAACCTAATACACACTTGGACTAGATAAAATAAAACGGAAGAAATTTAAATCTTAACACTAATGAATAAAAAAATCTAAGAGTATAACAATTTGAAAATTGTTCAAATACGTATTCACAAAGACTCTTGCAATATGAGGCATACATTTGTCACTATTTACTGCCAAAGTACCCAAGAGGTCTTTCTTTACTGGACAGTCTGGTAAGAGTGACTTCTAAGACATTGGCAACCCAAGGCAAATGTCCTTGGATAATCACCCAACATCCATCAGTGAACTTCCTAAAGGCAAGTAGTATGTTACCTGTTGGAGTTATGCAGGCTGCAGGAGAATGCAAGGTCAAAAGATGTTCAGATAACACAATGGATGATCACATGAATCATGTAGTGAATAATCCAGACTCAAATTTTTCAAATTTTACAGGTCAGTTTTTATGAAATATGTGGTTGTGTCAGGTACTAAGAGCAAAAGAATAGGAAAGAAAGGGGATGAGAGACAGCCCATGAGAGAGTACATGTAACATATGACAGATAGAGCACAAATAAGAAAAACCCAGAGACAGATATTGGGGTTCAAGCTGAATATCAAAAAAGCAAAGCAGCCAAGCCACTAGAGAGTTCTTAACTCTACCAAGGCTCAGACAAAGGGGGAGGGGTGATCCTGTTCTCAGAGTGACTGCAGACTGCAATTCTTTCCACAGAACCTCAGACTGCTCTGTCTGACTGCACTGAGCTCCTGCTTACATTCTCTCTAGTGCTGGGATTAAAGGCATGTCATCCCAAGTGCTGGGATCAAAGGTGTGAACTCTGTTTCTCATTTAGACTGATTCACTCTCATATATCCGAGAATGGCCTTGAACTCCTGGATATCCATCTGCCTCTGTCTCCCAAGTGCTGGGGTCCTCTATGGCTAACTATTGGCTTAATGTGTGTATGGTTAACTAGTGACTTAGCTGTGTATTCTGATCTTCAGGCAAGGTTTATTTGTTAGATCATAAACATAATATCACCACAGATATACTTACCAGAGAAATGTAGACAGACATCTAAAAGAGACAAGGTGCCTAAAGTAAGCTGAGTTAGCTTGTAACAAATTTAATCAGAAGAGAAGGTTGGAAACAATACTTCAAGTAATCATATTTCAGATTAGAAATACATACCATATGCAGAATATCAAATCTGAAGACCCTAGAGAAACTCAAAGGTGGAAGGAGCTGTGTTGTCATTCATCAAAATAAATGAGAAAATTATACCACAGACTAAAAGGAGCCCCAGAAGATACAATGACTTTGTAGTTTTTTGTTTTGTTTTGTTGTTTTGTTTTTAACAGGTTCACCTTTCATTTTTATTTCTGTGCCTATGGATGCCAAGTGTGTGTGGAGGTACTTTCAGAGTCCAGAGGAAGGTATCTGATCCCTTGGAGCTGGAGTTACGAGTAACACTGGACAGATCACTGTGGTGCTGGGAACAGAACCTGGGTCCTCTACAAGAGCAGTACACATGCTCAATTTCTAAGCCATTTCTCTAGCGTCTGACAGTGACTCGAAATGGTCACCCTGTAGAGATGGCTCAGCAGTTAGGAGCACCAGAGGACCCGGGTTCAATTCCTAGCACCCACATGGTAGCTCACAACTGTCTCTAGTTCCAGTTCCAGTAGATGAGACACCCTCACACAGACATGCAGGCAGACAAAACATCATATAAAATAAGAATAAATAAATCATTTAAAAATTAAAAAAGAAAGCTATAAAAAGAAAGAAATGGTCACCCTGTTTGTAATAAAATCTTTAAAAAGGGAGACTCACAGAACTACAAGGATGAAGACATAAATAAACTATAGTAAGAAAGCACTGATTTTAATTGTATTTACTAGATATCAGTACAAATAGAAATTTAAATATATGTACATATGTTCCACCTTATTCAGTGGAATTAACATAATACAAACTTGTACCAAACAATTAGGGCACATATTTTTTTCTCACTCACAAAGGATATATATAAATATTAACTCCATCCTGGACAATAATGTATGTTAATTGTCTGGTGACAAATCAACTGAGTTTGGCTCAATTTCCTAGAAATTACAAATTCGTACAAAATTATCTTAGTTGTAAATTAAGTAGCATTTGTAAACAACATGTGAGCCAAAGAAGTTTTAGAACAGGTGATGAATGGAAATGATTTTAGAAGGGGATTTGAGCTGGGCCTGCTGGAAGATGCCTGCCATCCTGCCATGGAGGCCCCGTCAATGCTAACCTCCTGGTGTTCACACCCCTGCATAGTGCCCTCCGCTACCGAAGATGGGTGACCCATGTAACTAATGGATGTTTTGCTTGCTCATGAGAACTGCACATCCCCAAAGGTTAATTACTTTAAGAAGCTGTGTTCTGGATTAACTTGTTAATGATAGCTTGCACAACTACTGAGACAGAAAATCAACATCTAATGGAAAAATTCAACAGTAGCGATGGAAAACTTCAACAGTAG